GTGACAGTGACCCAAAAAGAAGTTGATGGTAAAATAAAATGATGCAGTAAAATGAAAATGAAATTGTGTATGAATTGGTGTGTAATGTGTGTCTGTGTATGACTCGTTGTGTGCTGATAAAGAGAGAGTAAAAGTGGTAGTAGTAGTAGAATAGTGAGTGGTAGGGTTAAAAGAGAGAGAGAGAAAAAATAAAAGTGAAAGGGAAATAGAGAGAGCCTCAAATAGTAGCTGAAACTGAAACACTGAACTGAGTAGTAAGAAGTAGCCTAGGCTTTCACGATTGACTTGGTGACCCACGGGTAACTACCGCCGCCGCCAGAGCTAGAGCCTCCTCCGCCAGCAGCAGCCGGCGAGGCAGAGCCGCCCCCTGCCGAGGGCGAGCCACTTCCGCCGGAAGTGGTGCTCGGCGTAAAGGGCACCGCCGCCAGGTTGAAGGCGGTCTGGAGGCCGCGCGCAAAGGACGCCTGCTGCTGAGCGGCCGTCTGCTGGGCGGCGCTGACGCTCTTTTGCTGCTGCTGGAGAAAGGCGGCAGAGGAGCCGGAAGAGCCGGAAATGGCCGACGAGCCGTTGCTGCCGCGAAAAGACGTACCACTTCCGCCGAGGGCAGCGTTTAGAGACCGAGACTGCTGCTGCTGCTGTTGCATGGAGCCAAACTTGGCCGCCGGGGTGAAGAGGTGGGCGGTGGGACTGCCAAAGTGGCCGCCCCCGCTTCCGTGCTGCTGCTGCTGCTGTTGAAAGGGATTCCCGGGCGTGGCCGAGTTGGTGCCGTAGAAGGCAGCGGCGGCGGCGGCGGCTGCCGCGGCGCCCGCGTGGCCATAGTCCATTGGGCTGCCGTAGCCGTTCATAGCCGCTGCCGCCGAGGTGACCGGGGTGACGTGGTGGTGGGAGTTGTGTCCATTGCTCAGATGACTTCCGCCCCCATTGGTCATCGCCCCCGTCGCCGGTGAGCCGCCATTGGTCAGGTGGTGGTGACCGCCTCCGCCGTGGCCTCCGTGGCCGCCGTGCTGGAAGGCCGCCGCGGCGGCGGCTGCCGCCTGCGCCGCTGCCGCCGCCTGTGCCTGCGCCACACTGGCGGCGTGCTGGGCGTGGGCGGCGGCGACCGCCGCCGGCGATCCGCCGTTCATCGAGGCGTTGGCCGCCGCAGTGAAGAGCGCCATTGGGCTGTTCTTCGCCCGCTGGTGGTGGGCCGCGGCCTGATGGGCCAGCGCGGCGGCTGCCTGCATCGCCTGCTGGCGCTTCTTCCGCGAGTGGATTAGCTCAAAGTTTTGCTGGACGGGAAAGGATTGTGATTAGGGAAAGCTAAATTATCAAGACCAGAAGCTTAACATTACCTTCTGGTGCTCCAGACACTGCTGCTCGAGCTCGTCGATGTTGATGGAGTTGACGTAGTTCTCCTGGCGGCCGTCGCTCAGCTTCACCACCGTACAGTAGGAGCCCTTGTGTTCGCCGAATCTGTGAAGGAGTTTCATTAAAATCTAACAATATCAATTACACTCTAATAAGACTCACCGACAGGTGACCTCATTGGGGTCGATCCAGAGCGTCAGCTCGACCGGGAGCCGCAGCGAGCGGTAGCTGATGGCGCAGTCGGCGCAGGCCTGTGCGATGCTCCCATCGACGCTGCAGTTCTCATTGATGCGAATGCAGCGGTAGGCCTGGCCCTTCTTCGGCTCCTCGGGGAACCAGTGGCCGCGAAACTTGGTCTGCAGAATGGCGGTCAGCCGCTTGCTGAACTCCTTGATCTTCTCCTCGCTCACGCCCACCTTGCTGTGCTGGTGGTGGCTGTTGCTGTGGCTGTTGTTGTGGCTGTTGTTGTTGTGATGGCTGTTGTGGTGGCCATGGTGGTGATTACTGCCGCCGCCGCTGTGGTGATTGTTGTGATGATTAGAGGTGCTGTGATTACTACTACCACTACCGCCGCTTCCGTTTCCGCCCCCTCCACCTCCTCCTCCTCCTCCTCCTCCACTACTGTCGCCGCCCTTTGACCCGCCCGGGTCGACCGCCTTGGCGACCAGTCGCGTCAGAAAGTTGACCGCCGCGTCGATTTCCTGGTGCATCGGTGATGGCTTCTTCGTGCTTCGTTCTTTTGTTTCTATAGAGAATTCTCCTCGGCAACTGTGTCTGTGGATCTGTGCCCAGGTAGGTAGGCAGCTTTCGGCGGTGGGTTTCGCTTTTGGGCCGATGGTGATGCTGCTGCTGCCACTGGTCAGTGGAAAGGTATTGGTGGAGGTGAAGGTGGTGGTGGTGGTAGTGTTGTGGCGGTAGAGTTAGTAAAACGAAGTCCTCGCGGNGTTTCGCTTTTGGGCCGATGGTGATGCTGCTGCTGCCACTGGTCAGTGGAAAGGTAGTGTTGAAGGTGGTGGTGGTGGTGGTAGTGTTGTGGCGGTAGAGTTAGTAAAACGAAGTCCTCGCGGCCAAACATTAGCGCGTAGTGTTTGAACAGCGAGGGGCAACGGCGGCGGCTGCGGCTGCAGGAGACAACTCCGCTGGCGACGACAAAACGGCGGTGAAAATGAGAAGAAATGACGTGATAAAGTTGAGTTGATGACCGTGTCTCTAGGGCCAGTTATGGTTGAGGCTGTTTTTTAGGCTGTTGTATGCTGATGAACATTAAAAACTGGGAAAAAGGGGGGGGGATGGCCTCTAGCGAGCGAGCGGGAGAGATACGTCGTCTAAAGTGCAAGGGCGAAGTCGTCGTAGTCGTCGTAGTCGTCGTCGAGTGCTTGTCTTTTCTCGGACAGGCTAATAATGTAGCACAAGCACAAACACACACAGAATCACACTGAAGACTGAAGAGGAAACGAGTTTGAGGGTGCGCTTTCTTTCACTGCTGCTTCTGCTGCTGGGCAGAGAGTAAATGTCTGTTCGGTGAATGAATGACGGTGGTGGTGGTGGTGGTGAGAACGAGAATATTATTACACCTAGGAGATGAAAAAAAGAAAAAAGAATAAGGTCAGTACAAAAAAGTTCGAAAAGCTGTGCTTTTAAAGTTAAATTTTGAATCCAATGGAAAAAATAAGTTAGCTATTGGCCAACAACACACAGACACAGACAAACAACCTAGATTTGGAGGCAGCACAAAAAGTGCAGACAGCACATCTCCCAATATCATCGAGGAAATCAAACAACTCATGCCATCATCTCGTCACCACAGTTTAGCTTAGTATCGAGGTCTCCACTTCTATGCCAGAGTTTGATTTCTTAATCGCTCACCACTCTGTGTGTTCCTTCTTCTTCACCAACACCAACGGAGTCATATGATGACTAGCACTACCACCACTGTTGGCGATAATTATCTATTTTTAAAGCTGGTGGTAATGCACAGCACAACACACAAGACAACACCAACCAACCAACCAGCAGCTAACCAGCTGAGGTGTCCCTATACAAAAACAGAAGGAGGATAGAGGATAGAAAGAGCGAGAGAGGTAGGCATTGCTGCTGCTGCTGCTGCTGTGGCGCAAAAAGAAGATGGTGGTGGTTGCTGCACGGTTGCAATGATGAGGTGAAAAAGAAGAAGAAGAAGGAGCAGAGTAAAGTGTAGGTACGACAGCAGCGACGACGACAGAGTGACAAGAACAAAGACAAAGAAAACTCTGAAAAAGTCTAACGACAAAAGGCGAAAAAATGGGAACTCTGAAAGAAAGAGCAAACCAGTAAACTGGTATCGACTGCTTGGAGAAAATAAAACTAAAAAACTATCGTACACTTTTTCTCTCCTTCTCCTTCATCGACTTCCTTTGCTGGTACTCGTACTACTTTGTCTTTTACGACTGCTTCACTTTGGAAAATCGATTCACCAAATGTGGTGGTGAAACTCTCTCTCTCTCTTCACATTTACATTGGTAAAGAAAGAGAAGAATGGGTGAGGGCATGATAGGGCACAAAGTGCACTGCTGCTGCTGGTAGTGGTGTATGTCAGACCAGACCAGTGCCCCTCTTTGCACTTTGCACTTCGACGTAAATGGCGAACTTTTGTTTACGTCTGGGTTGCTCCCTGCTCAGTGGATGCAGGCAACAGAAAGAGAGAAAGAGATATCGTAAATTCGTGTAAATTCGAGAAACTCCTCTGCTGCTGCTGTTGCTCATCTTTGAAAGGGTCGTTTGAGGGGGGTCGAGCTAAAATGGTAATGGTGGGGGAGCCGATTTGGAAGGCAAATAGCATCGAGGCACTGCCATTCACCCTCACCACCACCAGCAGCAGCAGCAACACTTGCAGCCATCATTCGCTGGTCGCTTTTGTCTCTGCGGCGACAGCAACAGCAACAGCAACATCAGCGACAGCATCGACTAATCACCCATCTCCTCTCTGGTGTGTGTGTATTGTTCTAGCTACTGCTGCTGCTGTCGAGAGGAAGAGGGAGCCCTCGCCGAGCATCGTTTCCATGAGTTGAGCTGCAGTTTGGTTGTTGCCATCGGAGCGAAACTAACGCAACACACAGACACACAATGAGAGAGCTCAACATCGAGAACATCGACGGCGATGGTGACTATTTTTAAGGCTAGGAAGGACTACTCTCCTGCTGCTGGCGGTGGTGGTGATGGTGTTTGGAGAAGTTTCTCTTGTGATTGAGAGTGAGTGCTAGGCTCAAAGTGTTTGGAATCAAATGGACTGGAGTTCTGCTGATTGGAACCAAAACATAAGAAGGAGGAGAAGAAAACTTACCAGTGGAATTCAGCTGCGTGCACACCAGCGCACACCAGTTCTTTCCGCTAGGGGTTTTGTTCGGATGTTTAGTTTGCAGAAAGCTTCGAAAGGTTGAAATCTGGTCACGAGAGAAAGAGGAGTTTAGTATAAAAGCGTTGGATGAAGATGGCTGCTGCAGTGCCTTGTGACTCACATTTCGCAGTCGTTTTCGGAGAATTGAAGTTCGAAAAGCTTGGGCTTGGAAAACAAACTCACATTCACAAACACATACTCAGAGAGTTGGAGTCTCGTCGAGTTGGAGTGGATGATGAGCAGTTGTGTGTGTGAGTTGATGCCGTGGTGAACAAAGCCTGCTGTTGCTGCTCCTGCTGTACTGATCCTTTCTTGGTTGCTGCTGCTGCTGGCGGTACACTGAAACACACAGAGAACGACACCGTCGTCGTCGTTGATCGACGTTGGTTGCTCACTCAGCAGAGGGATAGCTTCTGTGGTGGTGGGGAAGTGTGTGTGTTGCAGNGCAGTTGCAGAGTTGTGTGTGTGAGTTGATGCCGTGGTGAACAAAGCCTGCTGTTGCTCCTGCTGTACTGATCCTTTCTTGGTTGCTGCTGCTGCTGGCGGTACACTGAAACACACAGAGAACGACACCGTCGTCGTCGTTGATCGACGTTGGTTGCTCACTCAGCAGAGGGATNTTTTGCTGCTGCTGCTGGCGGTACACTGAAACACACAGAGAACTACACCGTCGTCGTCGTTGATCGACGTTGGTTGCTCACTCAGCAGAGGGATAGCTTCTGTGGTGGTGGGGAAGTGTGTGTGTTGCAGCAAACGACGCTCGAGCAGAGAGAGGTTCAGAGGCGGTGTTGTTGTTGTGTCGGTGGTGGTGATGGTGGTGGTGGTGGTTTGCTGTACGTCGTTACGACTTCTTTATTGCAGCAGCAGTGCTAGTGCTGGTCGTGGCTGCTGCTGTGTGTAATGATGGCGGTGATGATTTTGATGGCTGTGTGTGTGTGTGTCTGTTGATGCTGCTCGAAGCTTCGGTGTCTCGAAGCGCAGTTGCTCGCAAACTGCTGCTGCCTGAGGAAGTGCCTCTTTCCCACAAAGAGAGGCCCCAGGAGAGAAGTTGGGCTGTTGTCAAGAAGATCCCGAGAAGTGAACTGAGAATCGCCAACTGGGTCTCTCTCCGATGATTTGTTTGCTCAATCAAGTCAAGAACTTTTCGCTCCTGTCTTCTTCTTCTTCTTCTTCGTCAGAGTTCAGAGTCGTCCAAGTAGAGCTTCGCAGTGGAAGAAGANAGTTGCTCGCAAACTGCTGCTGCCTGAGGAAGTGCCTCTTTCCCACAAAGAGAGGCCCCAGGAGAGAAGTTGGGCTGTTGTCAAGAAGATCCCGAGAAGTGAACTGAGAATCGCCAACTGGGTCTCTCTCCGATGATTTGTTTGCTCAATCAAGTCAAGAACTTTTCGCTCCTGTCTTCTTCTTCTTCTTCTTCGTCAGAGTTCAGAGTCGTCCAAGTAGAGCTTCGCAGTGGAAGAAGAAGTTGGACAAAGATGAGGGGACAAAGGAAAAGAAGGAGAAGGAGGTGGCGGCAGATGCAGTGTACTTCTTCTGTGGTGGTGGTGGTGGTGGTGGTGGCAGACAAAAGCCAGATCGCGTCGTCAGTTTGGTGAGTGAGTAGGCTAAAGAGCGAGCGAGAGAGCTGGCTAGGAGGACGGCTGCCTCGGTTGCTTCGTTTCGTGTGCTGGTGGTGAGGCTGAAGTTGAGCAGAGAGAGAGAGAGAGAGAGAGAGAGAGAGAGAGGAAAAAGTTGAGACAGGCCAGAACAGGCCAGGCCAGGACGCACAGTCTGGAAAAGGAAAGAGAAGTGGGAGAAGTGGCACAGAGCGCTGAAGCACACTACTCTGCCCTAGTGTGCAACATTTGCGTCAGCCAGTAGGCACAGAGTGGTCGCGGAAAGTTGTGGAGAGAAAGCTTGCCGTGCAATCCTCTTCTTTCTTCTTTTTGTGCTGCGCCTGTTCAGACTAGGCTAGACCACCACGTAGACGCGATCCGAGGTCGAAGCTGAGTTGCACAGCAGCAGTGTGAGCGAGGAAAACGAGGAGAGGATCACACTGCGACACAGCAGCAGCAGATGGAGTTGGCTAACGCTGACGAGTGTGAGTGCCACTGCTGCTGGTGACGGTCCAAAAGTGGATGCAATCTTCAAAAGCGGTGGAAGGCGCCT